TTTCATAAACAAAAACAATTTATTTATTATTTACGAGTTTTAATTTTTTTAATTCATAAATAAAGATGATTTAAAAAAATGAAAACCTAAAAATGAAGTTTAATTAAGGAAAAATATTCATCATGTTATTTTCGGATTTTCATTAAAAAAAATGTTCTTTTATGAATAGAAAAAAATAAAAACCTAAAAATATTACTCAATTCCGGAAAAATTGTAACATTTCAAATATTCTCCTCAAAAAAAATCTCTACGAGTGCACGACCCCGATAGAAAGAGCAAAAAAACAACTAGAAATTGAACTGAAATGCGATGAAATGAATAAAAAAGAGGCGTGTTAATAAAGCCGGCGTGCAGCAAAAGACCGAGGCGTGGCCAGCTGCAGAAGGCGTGTCCTTGACGCGAACCCGTGGAAGGAGCATCAGAGCGCAGTAGCAGCTGCATACATACCCCCTCGGCCCCTCTCTCTTGAGACACACGGGGAAGAGGGGCCGACAATGCAGAAATAAGAGGAACAAATGAGCCAGAGTGAAAGAGAGAATGCCCCGCGGCGGCTTTTACACCCGCGCGAACAGTGCCCGGCGTGCGTTTTACACCCGCACCGTTGAACTTTTTTGCCATTTGGACAGGCACTCACCCACCTCGTAAACCTTTCATCCACGTCCCAAAAGCCCTTTGTCTTCCAGCCGGCATTGGCCCGGAGCATATACCGTATGGCACATGTGCATTATGTATATCAGTGGGAAAAATAAGTGAGGGGAGACGAGTTTTTCGAATCATGGCAACCGGTTTGTCGCTCTAATACGCCTAAGTCTTCTCGGAAGATTCGGACGACTGATATACAGTCGATATTAAGTCGTTATTAAGAGGATAATGCTGAGGCCAGCTCATGTATGAAATTATCAAGCGACTTCGATCATCATCTGTACACATTTTTCAATGTACACGGAGAGAAATATTCAATAAAAATTACGTATCCTTTTCGTAATTCCGGAGCGAATTGTGGTTGTAGGAAATTGTACGGAACTGTCACGGAATTCTTCCAGAGCGTTCCGTAATTTTCATCTGAATCTCCTGGGAAAAATTACGATGCCGTCACTTAAATTCTCTGAGTCGATTCTGTAATCGGTGAGTGAATTGTGAGTTCCGTAATTTTTTCTGAACATTTCTCTCCTCGTAGCTCCACCCTTCGGCCAGGCTACGCTGTACTTTTGGATTTTTTCAGTTCTTAAATTTTTCAACTAAATTGCATGAAACAAATTTGAAAAAATGCATACCCAGTCGGTATTATCTAAATTAAATTTCGCAAAATATTGATATTTTTTCAAACATTGCCTTCTTATAAATAAATAATAAAACTTGTTTGCAAAACGGTGGATTATTTTTTATGAGGTGTCGAAAAAATTCTTGATTTTTTCACATCTAATGAAAAAAATTCAGATTTTAATCTTTGATTACAATGATAATGTTGATTTATAAGACACTGGCTTAAATCCTGATTTTTAAACATTTCTTCTTTGAAAAATCAAAACGATAATTAAATTGAGAAAAAAAATAGAATTCCAGTTTTCAATAATCTTTGAATTTACCGTAAAGGTAGAGCCACTTCGATACACGCTGTTAGAAAATTACTCTTGAAATTTTAAGTAATAAATCTTGAAATTTTTAATAACAACTAACTTACATGGAATTTCATTTTACATTTTCTTTTTTGGGGTCATCCGCTGAAAAGGAAATGTTTGCGATATCCTAACCTACTGACGGATGCGCGCACATCACGTGACCGGCTCCCCTCCCCCCAGCGCCACCGCCAATCCCGGCAGAGTTGCGTCTACGGACTTCTGACGTCACAACTAAAAACCCAAACTATTACGACTATTTAATGATCAACGTTTCATGAAAAATGCATAAATATTGAAATTAAAAAACCCGATCAGCATCCCCTAGCAATCCATTAAATCAAATCCATCGATAAGTGCGATGGCAGCCAGATATCGCCTCACAAAAATAACAATAAACCCGTTCACGACGGAACGACATTTTCCCAAGGGTGGAACTTCGAGGTAACGAAAGAAATCCGAGAAATCGGTATATTGCGCCGTGGGAAGAGGGCTTCTGAAAACAAAATCATTTAGAATTCAGCTCCCTTCCTGTCTTATATAATTTGACCACTTGGAGTTATATACGGACATAGAGAGAGACGAGAGAAATGGAGATGAAAAAAAAGAGGTTAGGGCGGGTGGAGATGGGGAGACGCCTTTTTGCCAACGTGTCCTGAGCACCTCTCGAGCCAAATGCTTCATAGGGACGCAGCTACCGCTTGTCTTTTTGTCCGCAGGCGGATCATTTGAGTTGGAGAGAGACGAAAGATGCAAAATGTCTTACGATGGTGGGTTTTGAGAGTGAAAAGGAGATGGTATATCATGGCCCCCATTAAGCTCTTATTAATTGCGGGGATCTGAGGGACCGCCTGCGCTCTTTCTTGCTGGTTTCCTATATACCTGATGGCCGAGACCGCCATTCTGACCAGTCGCATTAAGTAACCATCCTCTGTCTCTGTGAGGGCTTTGGGAGGACAAAAGAGACTATCGAGATGAGGGGATATAAACGAAGAAATTCATAGCGCCGGGCGACTTTTCGTTCCCCTGCACTCATTTTGATTCCATCACATGTTGTACAGTGATCGATTGCCCGGTGCACCAGACTGCGGCTTTCTTAATATCTCAATGCAGAGATCTCGTCCAACGAGAGGAGATGATGAATCATTTTTTTATGAAGTCTACTTGAGGATTTGTTTTTGTTTGGGATCAGTCGGTATGGGGTTGTGTTTGTTTGAATCGGAATGGCAATATTTCCTGATGTTTTTTTGTGGAATTCATTGTTTACGTGGGAAATACACTATTTTATCGGTTCCTTTATTAAATAAATTTCATCAGAAATTTTTGACGAGAGATGGCGTTGACCGACCGGTGTTGTGACGTCAGTCAGGGTCATCTGAGCATTTTGAAATCATCATTTTGCGATCGTTTCTTTCATTAGAAAAATATGATTTGCAAAGTTTTACTCCCGATTGAGATTTAATAAGACAAAGAATCGAATGCCAGAAGAAAAAATTTCAGGAAATATTTCATGAGAATTGGATCAAAATACTATTTCAAATAGATATTTGAGGCAAAATGTCTTATTTTACCCGGTCGAAGCAATTTTTTTCAAAAAATGTCATCAACCATTTCAGATAGTATTCTCCCTATTTGAAGATAGAATGCAGGAGCCTGGGGCATGACGGGATGAAGGTGTGGGGGATGGTAAGTATGGGGGAAGTGGGGCCAACACCGCCCCACAGATAGACATACGACGTATTAAGAGATAAATCAAAAAAACTATGTGATTTTAATCTTATAATCGTTTTCTTTATTATAAATATTGTTTTTTAATATATATTTATATAGTTTACAAATAACAATTTACACAGCGACGTGTTATCTGACATCGTCTTTTTTCTCATTATTTCTTCATCTCTCTTTTTCATTTTAAAACACTACTTGGGGTGGTGTTGGCACTTCTACCCCGTGTACATCGTAATTTTGTGTATGCACAATATTTGAGAATGACTTTTGTTTGCAAATAAAATGAAAACATTCAATTCTACGGTACTATCTAATTAACTCTAGTGTCTTTGTGACCTGTACAAAGCGACTGTTTTTCGTATTTAATTCTCTCACAGTTGTTCATTCTGCTCTTGAAAATTAATTAGCTGACTTTGTTTTTTTTTCTAGATATAAATTTGATTGCTTTTTTTCTAGCTAAAGTACAAGGTGCGAGGGACTACTCACTCCCGAAGTCTTGGAGAAAAACACGGAGAGAAATTTCGTAATGTATTAATGCGCGGGAAGTTGTGAGTCACAATGGTACACCAAAAGGGGCGCTGTTGACATGACAAAAATTACCAAATCACGTTCGTCAACATTTCATGTGACGGAATTAATGAATTTTACGTTGTTTGTTATTAATTTTTATAACCATCATCTTCGTGCGCTCCGTCATGAAATCAATTCGAAATCACGTTAAGGTATTTATGGCGGGGCGGCCACGTAGGAGGTGAGACGGAGGGGAATCTATTGTTCTCTCGCAGAAAACCAACCGCTAAACAAAAAAAATGAAATTTCAATAACAAATGTTCAATCTATTTCGACCATTTTTGTGTTTGAAATATTTTTTTGATAACGTTTCTATTTTTTCCCCAAATATTTCAAGCCTTCTTTTATTTTTCTAGCTTGTCTTTTGGATGATTGGAAAATAATTAATATGGATAGAAAAAGTGACGTCGTGCCGTTCGAGGTATAAGTTGGCAGCACTGATTCACTCAGCTGTTATGTTCCTTCCCATAGCGAAATGTATCATTACAACTCCACTCGTATTTGTCGCCCTTACCCATGATTTCTAACCTCAACGTTGTCGCTATTCCAAGTTGCGCACGCAGAATTCCTATTTTTCATGTTTTTTAATTATCCCTTTTAAACAATTCTCCTAGGCCACTTGGATTAATTTTTTTTATGTTCCTCCTTGAAAGCTCCACTCAAGTGTGAAATTTCAGGAAAATGGCGACTTTTTTCTATTTTTAATATTTTTTTTTCCGAATTTCCATAAGAGCCCATGTTGAAATGCATCTTTTAGAAAAACTCCTGTATTTCGCTCATTCTCCTAGGCTATCTGGGACTTTGCATAGGGGTTTGGAAAAAATCAAAGAACGCATTTTAAAAAAATCATCAATTTCTTGACTTTTTTCGATCCCCCTGACCGCGCCATAAATACCTTAACTCATTGAACTCGCCGACATCACGGAAATCAAGTAGTTTCAACTCTCCGACATCATTTTTGAAATCATCTCCGTAATCACGTGAGATCAACTCCATTTCAAAATCACGTTATCACTCAATTACGGAGTGAGTAGCCACCTCGACGCGGGGACCATTGTCGTTAATTTTTTCAGGCCCAATACTCACCGGAGAGGGGTGCGTAAGGGCCGTGGGGGTAGGGGGGCGCTGAAGATGCGTCGACGAGGGATTGCGACGGTGTCGTTGACGTCCAGTCCTTGTATGACGGCGCTGCGTGCACATGGTGAGCCGTGTGGTGGGAGGTGTGGTGACCAAGACCTCTGGCGCCACCTAACAACAGGCCGCCGTAACTCGCCGCTGCCGCCATGTTGTGGTGATGATATTCGTGGACGGCTCTAATAATTTAATTCAACAGAGATTAATTTTGGAGATGATCATCTTCACGCGAACGAGGGAGGGGGGGGATTAATATGGAGGAATTAGCTACCTGTGATGGTACTGGGGGTAGTGGGGATGCCATGGGTCCGTTGCATAATCGTAAACGTCGCCGGGGTGTTGACTGTTCCAAAAGGATGGCGGAAAATTTCTCGTTGACATGGGGATGTTTTCTGGAAGAAAATATTTTCAAGTATTTGTGAGAAGTGAAATCCGAAATGATCAGTGGGTGGGGTGAAATGGAATTTTGATTGAGGTGTGGGTTATAAGGGTCATGAGGGTTAAGCAAGGGTCATAGGAACTGTTATAAATGCCAAATAAGGGTCAAACATTGAACATCGAATATGCCTTCATTATGATCGTTATTTGACCTTCATGACTGTTTTTCGGATCTTCACCTGACTTATGACCTTAAATGAGACTCGAGTAAAGCTTAACAAAGGCCAAAAAGTGATCAAACGTGTTTAACCCTTAGACAAGGTCATAAGGGTCAGGTGAAGATCATAAGACCAGTTTCTATGATCATTTTACCCGTATTGAAGCCTTATTTGACCATCATCTTAATAAATAAGAGTCAAATAAAGCTTAAATAAGGGCCAACCATTGTCTCTTATCTAACCTTATTTCAGCCCTATTTGACCCTTAAGGTCATAAGGGTCAGGCGAAGGTCATAAGAACAGTTCCTGTCAGTGTTTAACCCTTTTCAAGTCTTATTAGATCCCGATCTGTTTGAGTAAGGGTCAAATAAGGCCTAAATAAGGTAGAATAAAGGTCAAACATGTTAAATAGTCGATGTTTGACCGTTATTTAATCTTGTTTAGGCTTCATCTGATCCTTATGGCCCCAAATAAGAGTCAAGTAAAACTTCAATAAGGGTCAAATATGCCTGAGGTTCTTTGACCCTTATTTAAGCCTCATTTGATTGTTATTCGATCCTTATCCAATCTCATTTAATCCTTATTAAACATTTATGTAACAAGATTCCACATCTCGTAATGGTTAAATAAGGCTCAAACCTGTTGAGTATCCAATCTTTCCCCTTATCCAACCGTATTTCCATCCTCAGCCCTCTTATAAACCTCATAAACCTCATGACCCACATCCCCCTCTACTCAACCCACAACCTCAATTCCCAGAAAAGTAAATCCACAAAATTATCGTTCACAGTTGCTAAAAAATCTCGAATTCAACCCACGAAAATTGACATCCCGATTACAAATGTAAATACCCCTTCACCCAAAACACCTCCAAAAATTGTCCTCCCACCGGGCGATAAAATCTCACCACCTCTCTCCTTTCCCCGCCCCTCTCTCAAAACATCAAAGCCCAATTCCCTAATTCTAGCGAATGTGTGACGCATCGGGTTATATTGTAATTCCCGCGGGATTTTGGTTTAACCCATCAGAGACAGAGACAAAGCCAGTACAACACATATCGGTAGAACGAAGAAGCCCGTGGAGTCTGCATTGTTTCCCACGGATGGAATGCCGGTCCCTGGGAGTATCGCGGGCCTCCTCATCCTCGGTAGTGTGTCGGAGTGAGAGAGAGAGAAAGGGGACCCAAGGACTTGAAATATGCTTCACAGTCTTGTCCGCGCGCCCCAGCAAACCGCCCGATTGGCTTCCAACTCTCATCGCCGTCACTGTATAGATTCTACCACCCGCCAGCCCCCCCCCCCCCCCCNCGACAACTATTGGAATCGTCTCGATGGGGAAACGACTAACTATCGCGTTAAATATTGCGATTTGCTTAGCCCCCAAACCAAGATGCGAGAGCGATAAGTCGATGCTGCCGCGCGCCTCTTCACCTTTTTCCTCTCTTTTTATTTATTTCTGTTTCTCTTTCCTCTTTTTTTTTCTTGTTTCAAGTTTTCGTCTTTCTCTCGAACTGTCCGCGTCTTTGCCCCAGGACTGTCCTTTATTTATTAATGCAATTAAAGAAACAGAGTGTCGGTCCCCTGCTCGCAGCGGTCTCCTGGGCCTGTCTTTCTTCTACGCCGATGGGGCACTCTCACGACCGGGTGAAACAAAGATGGTGACATGACAACAGGATAGTTGAGGGGAAAAAGAGGGGGGGAGGGGGTCTGAGAGGAGTGCCGCGTTCAGGAAGAAGTGTTCGGACGACAGGATAAGGATAGGGGAGTTGGGGCCTCATTCGGTTGATCGGACGGTTTACATATGAAGGTCGGGGAGAGAAGAGGTGTTTGGTGTGGAGGAAGTGGGCTGGGGTTGAGTCGAGTTTGGATGGGCGTTTAATCAACGGATTGATTAGGGACCGGAAGTTTCTTAGATTACGATTGTGAAGACAGAGAGAGAAAACGAATGAAGTTTATGGGAAGGCGTTGGGAGAAAGTTGCGACCTGCAGACAAGCGAAACTGCTTATGAGAGAGCAACTAAGAGTTAGGACCAGAAAGCTTCTGGAGTTGCACAGAGGGGATCTGAGGGTAGCAGTAGGGCTCCTTACGGGTCATACAGCTCTCAGAGCTCATCTGTTCAAGATGAAACTTGCAGAACAAGAAGACTGCAGACTGTGCGGAGGCGATAAGGAGGGCGTCATCCACATTTTATGTGAATGCCCCCTATTAGCACTCCGTCGCTATAAAATCTGGGGCCAGGCTTTCCTGAAACCAGAGGACTTACAACAAGCGGCTGTCACCAGCCTTATTAGCCTAGTGAGAAACACAGGGCTGGGGCTGTGTGACTGACCGAAACTAAGGCGGAAGTTACAAAAGATCGTATGATTTAGATGACTCTGGGCGCTTTAAGTGACCAGCCGCACTTTTTTTTATTCTTTATTCTATGGGAAGGCAAATCGCGCCTTCTTGGAGTTTCTTGAAGTTAGCGTCAAGTATATTCTCTACTTTTCCATGCAGGATAGTATAGTAATCCAAGAGGAATTTCCTTTGACTTCAGATAACTCTAGAGAGCAATCATAAGGGTCAAGCGGGAAAGACGAGCGGGACGGCCTTGAGGGTCAATCGGAAGAGATGAGCGGAAAATTCATGAGGGTCAAACAGGAGGGACGAGCAGAACAATCATAAGGGTCAAGCGGAGGAAATACGGATGAGGGTCAAACGGAAGAGTAGGGCAAAACTGTCATAAGGGTCAAGTGGAAGAGACGAGCAGAACACTCATGAGGGTCAAGCTTTCAGCTTGTCTCTTCCGTTTGACCCTTATGATCGTTCTGCTCGTAATGAGGTTCTGAAACTTATGACAGTTTTAACCCACATGACCCTTCTTGCCGTTCTTGTGGAACCTTCATTTGTCTTCCAACGTTCCAAAATGTGGGAACAATTTGAAGAAAGGGCCAATTTTTTGTGGCACTTGGACTCACTCCTTTGTACTTCGGATAACTAGAGCAATCATAAGGGTCAAGCGTTCGCTTGTCCTTTCCGTTTGACCCTTATGATCGTTCCACTCGTTCTTGCGACACCTTCATTCGTCTTTCAACGTTCCTTAATGTCGGGAAAATGTCCGAAAAGTGGTTCAAAAAGTGTATTTACAACCACGTCAATACCAAACATCAAAATAAACTTTCAGGCCCCTCTCATTATTTTTTTTAACACGTCACAGAGTGAAGTATTTGAATATTTTTTCCCTCATCTGCATGACGGTGACTTATGTAGGCACATGGCACTGTGCCAAAACTCGCCATTATAAAGACGTTGGGTGCTCACGCGTGCAAGGAGGCAATACGTCAAAACGTAAAGCCTCCTAGAGGGGGTGGGTGGAGAGGGGGGCTTGCTCGTGGGGGCCCCTTGCTCCTGGTCTTGAGGATTGATGTCCCGGCGCGACTGGATGGCTTGTTATTCCGATTTAGAGCGTTGTTCCGCGTGTGTCACACCACTCGCTGAGGTCTTTGAAGAGAGTACAGTCAAGCAAACGAATGACTCTGTATTAGTTTCATGGGTAGACGACTGATGCGATGCAGCAAAGACCGCGTGTCAAGTAATTGCGGGTTCTGTCGCTCTATCCACTGGTGAACTCACGCAGTCACATGTAGGAGACAGTCTGTACTCATGCGGGCGTTAATTTGACGGCACAATGCGTAACGACATGCTCAATTTCATCGTTCAGCTTTGTTTTTGTTGGTAAAAATGTGTTGTTTTTTTTCGACGAGTTTTTATAGTCGAGGATTAAGTGGGCAGGGAGACGTGGCACGAGACGGAGCCAAAATTGTGGGGGTGGTTGAGGGTTGGCAGAAGAAATTTGGGAGAAAGAGTATGAGATGCTGGAAAAATGGTTAAATAATAACGAATGGATTGGGAATTCTATGAATGTCATACACATATCATTCACATTCTTGACTCCTGAAGGAGTATTTTTCAAACCCATTCTCATTTCCTCCAAGAGAAATCGTGAAAATTACAAAAACAGTCTCTCTTAAAAAAAAAATTCCGAAGCTAAAACTGTCCCTCAGCATTCTTTACTCCTTACTTTGAGAAGCTCTTAATTTACCACTGCGTCCTCTCGTGTATATAGAAACCCGGGGCAGGGGAAGTGGAGAGGGTGCGGGGAGCGCCGATGAGGAAAGAGAGAGGAAGGAAAAATTTCAGAGGGTTGAGGCACGTAACAATTAGGTCGATGTTGTCTTGAATTCTAAACAGGCTAGTGAACCGGAGATCCTCGCGGAGTTTGCGGTTGGGATAAATGTGGGCTTAAACGACACCAATATAGCAACTCGTGCTGATCACTTGCCAAACCCTCACTTCACGTTAACCATTGCACTTTTTCTTATTCATGTCGTTTTATTCTGTCGATTTTTCTCCTTTTTCTCGACATTTTTTCGATTTTATGTCCCTTACGGCTCTTTGTTATTCGCCTCGGGTGCTCATTTCATTCCAGTTTGGATTTTAACTCTCGGAGCACGGAGGACATCGACAATTGTCGAGAGGGGGGAGGGCTTGTTAGACCTGTCAATGCCTCAGTTCCTCCAACTACTTTATTACACTAGTCCTGATCCCCTTTTTCCTAATAAAAGATTCGATATTACTTTTTTCGATTAATTGTTTATAATCGTTCTTATTGCAAAAAGTAATAATTCCTATGATCATTGAATGAGATTTTTATCACAATCGCAATTCAATTCCCCCTAGAATACACTTTAGAGTGCGAATTTCTGGAATTCAATGTTTGTTGATACTCCGGTAAAATTGCGTGCCCACACTGTTATCAATTTTTAGTTAGTTTACACGGTAATTCAATTAATCTGTTGTTCATCTCATCAATATAATTCTGTGCTTAGAATATTGTCATCTCGTATTTTCAGCACTAAATTAAAAATTAACACTTAATTTGGAATATTGAGTCACAGCTTCTTTTTATTCATATCAGAAATTTTGTATTTGGATATTAATATTATTTGTTGAAAGTGAAAAAATCGATCATCATTTTCACTATATTGCATTCAGATTCTCCTATCCTTAACGTAAAAAATGAGATAATCTCATAACTCTAGCTATTAATTCCAATGAACTTTGTTCGAACGAAACCTCAGTAAACGCAATATTAAGAAAGTAGAATTATTCTATTTTCTTCTGACCTAAATAATTTGGACAATTATGATTCGTCTATTCATGTTTCACAGAAGGTATTCGTGAAATCCGCTTTATGTTCTCCATTCTCGTTTCAGATATCCGCCATGTTCGAGTTCTCATTTTCATTCTTCTTCATCTTCTCATTGCCCATGCTTTTATCAGAATGGATTCCCGAGTCGAGGATTTGGTTCTGATTGGACGTACACAGGTCTTTCAAGATCTCTCCAGACCTAGATGGACCTGGTAAGTCCGAATCAGTTCTGCGACGTACTTTTCCAGAGACCATTCGAATCCTCAGTTCTTTTCGGTCCTGAGAAGCCCTCCTCGATGCTACCGAGAACGCGTGATTTTACGACCGGGTGAAGGGGAAGGCATGTATGCGGAGGGTTGAAATTTGTAGCCAACGAGGAGACAGGGTTGCAGAATATATTTTAGCCAGCAATTGAAAACCCGAGTTGAAGACCCGAGTTTGTAGCAAAGATGTCAGACAAGATATGAATGTTTTTTTGGGCTCAAACGAAAGAGCGGGTCGAGAAATGGCGTGCTAGGACCTCTAAAGATGGTTTTGAACCAGGGGAGAC